TTTTTTAAGATTTTATTTATTTATTTGACAGAGCGAGAGCAGGAACACAAGCAGGGGGAGTGGGAGAGGGAGAAGCAGGCCCCCCGCCGAGCAGGGAGCCTGATGCAGGGCTCGATCCCAGGACCCTGGGACCATGACCCCAAGCCAAAGGGAGACACTTAACAACTGAGCCACCCAGGCACCCCTCATGCTTTTTTTTTTAAATTAAATATTTTTGGGGCGCCTGGGTGGCTCAGGTCGTTAAGCGTCTGCCTTCGGCTCAAGTCATGATCTCAGGGTCGTGGAATTGAGCCCTGCATAGGGCTCTCTGCTCAGTGGCAAGTCTGCTTCTCCCTCTCCCTCTGTGATCTCTCTTGCTCTCTCTCTCTCAAATAAATAAATAAAAATCTTTAAAAAAATTAAATATTTTCTCTTAATTTGCTTTGTTCTCATTACTTTGTCATACCATATAAATGTAATTTCTATGACTTAGTTATCACATTAATGAATACCATTAGAATTGTTCAGTATAAAACTACTTTTATTGCTCACAGAACTGGTGCTTTTTTATCTAGCTCTAAAAAAATAATCCCATGTTAAATTAATCTGGTTAATCTGGTTAAATTAATCTGGTTAAATTAATATGGTTAATCTCTTGGTGGAAATCAACAAAAGGTTCTTGGCATTCTGAGTAGGATATAAGAGCCAAACTAAGTAAGCATTTGTTGTAATATCGGATAGCAGTTATCCTTTGATTTTTCTGTGTTTTGAGCATCCCAGAAACCAAACAAATCCATCTAAATTTCTATCTCATGAGTTGGAATTAAAATATCCAAAGACTCAGGATTGAATGGGAAAAAGAAGAAAATATGTAGGGTCAAATCTAAATGGTGGTGGAAGGTGTGGTGATAAAGAAACTTGACTTGGGGCTAATATACTCTACACTTTATCATTTATACTTCCTCTTCTTTCTGGGGAGCAGTGGGGGGAACACATGACATTTTTATGATGGTGAATTCCACTTTAAACAAATACTCTGGGTTCTTTTGTTTTCAAGGGGAGTTTATTATAAGAGTACAGGAGGGCATACTGGGAATCCAGGAAGGTATAAGGCATCCAACCAAGCTTCATACAAATACCTCCCAAATGCATGAAATGCTCATAATGAATGCTTAAAGGAATTTACAAAGTATAAACTTGATTTCAGGCCTTAGAAAAGGCAAAAGATGCAGGAAGAAAAGAGAGAGTCTTGGTGAGACAACGAGAACAAGTTACAACTCCAGAAAATATCAATTTGGATTTAACTTACTCAGTAAGTATAAAATACCTGTTGAGTAAAATTATTTTGGCTAGGATTTGTAGATTCCGAAAGTTTTTTTCTTTTTCTTCTGTTTTTTTTTCTTTTATTTCTAAAAAGACTTTATTTAAATTCAGTTAGCCATTGTAAATCTTATTGGACCTTAGGAGCTCAGAATTCGATTCATAGAAATCTTTATGAAGTTCATGAGGCACTCTTTGTTCTGTACAAAGATTTTTTTTTTTATTTCATTAGTTTTTAATAACTTAGGAAGTACCTGCAAACCCACCACCCAATGACTATATTTCTGGAAGATTGATAATATTTATGCTCTGTTTTTAGTATGGTTACTTTAATGAGATTCTAATATGGACTTTTGGTCTGTAATTTTCAAGAACTTCCAACTAGGTAAATAATACAATGTTCTGTGAGGGTAGTGAAAAAAACAAAAGCTAATTTCTTACAGAATTTTTAAATTTTTTTTTAATTTTTTTAAATTTTTAAATTTTTTTAAAGATTTTATTTATTTATTTGAGAGAGAGAGAATGAGAGAGAGCGAGTACATGAGAGAGGGGGGAGGGTCAGAGGGAGAAGCAGACTCCCCGCCGAGCAGGGAGCCCGATGCGGGACTTGATCCAGGGACTCCAGGATCATGACCTGAGCCGAAGGCAGTTGCTTAACCAACTGAGCCACCAAGGCGCCCTCTTACAGAATTTTTTTAACTCTAAAAAGATACTTGATATTTATACTGGTGTTTTTAAAGGGTGTATTTTTAGTGGGAAAAGTGTTCATCTGCCAACAAATGGAAAAAAAAGGGCATTTGAAACTTTGAATAGAAATTTTTAGATGTTCAGTCTTGGTAGCTAATATCTTTAAATTCCATGGAATCTTTAGGGAATAATTTCTAATCTTTTTTTTTTTTTTTACCTGTAGGAAGGTAAGTTTCTATAACTTAGTGACTTAAATTATAATTTTGCATACAGAGAAATACTTTTTACAGTTTTGCATATAAAAAAGCACACAAATGAAGCCTTAAGGTATATCCACATAATGTGTAATTTTTATTTACAAAGAAAATTTGGCCCACTGTCTTACTTACTCCTTTTATTACCAACAACATTAACAATACAAGTTTATTCTTTGTAGGTCTTTCTGAGATTAATGGATGGTAAATGCCACCTAAATTAGAAAGAATACTTAGAAAATTAATGTGCCATTTAGAGGATAGCTATACTTATCTTAATGTTCAGGTTCATTTTGAATGCAAGATATTTCTGTGTATGCTCTACTTCCTAATTGGTTAGGTATCTTGATATAGACATCTAGCTTTGTTATAGGATGTTAATCTCTGAAAAGATTATAGGCAAAAGGGGCCTAAAATGGTCATTATATGTGATTTTGCAATGTTTATTCCTTAGGTTCTTTTCAACTTGGCTAGTCAGTATTCGGCTAATGAAATGTATGCTGAAGCACTAAACACATATCAAGTTATAGTGAAAAATAAGATGTTTATCAATGCAGGTGGGTATATGTAGTCAATTTTCCCAATAAGTGTAGTTCTTTTTTTCCCCCTAAAGTTTATATATTTAAGTAATCTCTGCACCCAACATGGGGCTCGAGCTCATGATCCCAAGATCAAGAGTCGCATGCTCTTCTGACTGAGCCAACCAGGCACCCTGAGTATAGTTCTTTTGTAGTGTTAATTTACATTTCCCCACTTTATGTTTCCTTATAATAATCTATGCTCTAAACAAATTTGTGTTTATATGGAAATGTCCTGCTTGAAGATACTGTTTATATGAAAACTCACATAAATACAAATGAAGAAATACTGTTGGGGTGAGGTGTATTGCCTAACAAACAGTAAACACAAAGTGTATTCTGTCATAACTAGTAGAATGAGCCATTGCAATCCCATCAAACATGCTTTCCCAAGGGGCGCCTGGGTGGCTCAGTTGGTTAAGCTGTTGTCTTTGGCTCAGGTCATGATCCTGGGGTCCTCGGATTGAGCCTGGCTTAGGGCTCCCTGTTCAGCGGGGAGTCTGCTTCTCCCTCTTCCTCTGCCCCTCCCCCTCTCTCATGCTCTCTCTTGCTCATGCTCTCTCTCTCTCAAGTAAATAAAATCTTAAAAAAAATGCTTTCCCTTATAAATTTATCCCCAAGAGACTACAATTTATATGTATCATTTATATTGTGTAATTTTTTGGTAGTAGTAGTAAAGTTTATCAGAATATCATTTTCTTTAATGTATATGGCATTATTGAATCTAATTTTTAAATTCTGTCTTTTTTTAGAATAACACAATTCCAGTTTTATAATGTAAATCACTTGTTTTCTAGCCATATTTTCAGGCTTTCATATTTCCATCTGTCTTAAGTTCCATTTCCTTACAGAAGATTAGTGTGTAGATACAAGAAAATAGTATAACTCTTTTAAAGTGAGAATTTTAGGTAGTGTCTGAGGCTTCCTAACTTGAGAAAAGCTTCAAAGAATAAGAATTAAGGTCATCTGAAGTACAGAAAAAGTGAAGAAAATAGAATATTATATATTCATTATTTTTTATTAGGAAGATTGAAAGTGAATATGGGAAATATTTATTTAAAGCAAAGAAATTATTCCAAAGCCATTAAATTCTACCGAATGGCACTAGATCAAATTCCAAGCGTCCATAAAGAAATGAGGTAAGTTTACATAACGATAACTTGGTGAGATTTAAGTGTTGTTTTTCAGAAACAATATAACTCTTCTGACTTGTCACCAGTGAGTTGAATGTTTTGAGGTGTTTGTACATGTGAGGTGTTAGATTTATGTCGTATCTGTAGTATTTTGGTGCGTTCCCCTACTGACTACTTGCACACATTTATATAATGACAAGTTAAAGGTTAGAGACAAAATATGTAATCAATTGAAATAAAACAAAGCTAATTGGCCTATATAAGGGATAACCTAGAAGGCCATTAGCAGCAAATAAAAGTCACTGCCAACATAAAATCAAAACAGCAGTTTAGAACATAACAGACTTTAGAATGTCTTGAAATAATTAAGGAAGGGATTACATTTGAATCTTAGAAGAGGGGAGAGGAGGAGGAAGCTGGAATATTTTCTATTCATATAATATTTCAAGAGCAGAAACAGTAAATTACCTTATGGTCTGGTAATGACCTTGATATCAGAGAAGATTTCCAGGATATTTACTGAGTATACTTTTCCTTAGGCTTAGTACAATTCCTCTGTGAAAGTTAATTTATTTGTGAATGCCACCTTTAGTGATCATTTGTTTTTTAATAATGTATCATTATCATTGGGAAATATGTAGCTCCTAGGACACAGTGCTCTTAGGCACTTTTAACTCAGTTGAGGCCAAGACTTTGAGCATTGTAGAAAAAGATAATAATATTAGATAGTTTATGTCAAGTGCTTAATTAGTTTATGTCAAGTGCTTAATTATCAATAATCAAGAGGTGTGTAGTAACTAAGTTGAGGGACTTAGTTGAGAGATTATTAAGAACAAGAATGATCAAGAAAGGCTTATGAAGGAGGTGTACTTGCGATAGGTTACTTACGTGACGAAGGGAGAAAGGATAATATTCCAGACAAAGGGAAAATGGAGATGAGTCAAGGAAATAACAGTATTTGTGATCTGATCAGAGAATTATGAATAAATGAATTTAGTTGAAGCCGAGGTATTATGTTGAGGAGTGGTTAGAAATAAGATGGGATCACATCCATTATAATGGCTCTAATCAAATACTGAAAATAAGTACTGAAGAGCATGTAGAGAAATTGGAAACCTCATACATTGGGCATATCAAATGGTACAGCCAGTTTGGAAAATAATTTGGCAGTTTTTTAAAAAGTTAAACAGAGGGGCGCCTGGGTGGCTCAGTTGTTAAGCGTCTGCCTTCAGCTCAGGTCATGATCCCAGCGTCCTGGGATCAAGCCCTGCGTCGGGCTCCCTGCTCTGCAGGAAGCCTGCTTCTCCCTCTCCCACACCCCCTGCTTGTGTTCCTTCTCTTGCTATGTCTCTCTCTGTCAAATAAATAAATCTTAAAAAAAAAGTTAAACACAAATTTACCAGTGGACCAGCAATCCCACTCCCAGGTATATACCCAAGAGAAATGAAAATATGCTGTCACAAAGGATTGTGTGTGAATGTTCATAGCATTATTCACAATAGCCTCAAAGTGGAAACAATCAAATGTCTGTCAAGCAGGCAATGAATAAATAAAATATGGTATATTCATACTGTGGAATACTATTTGGAAATATAAAAGGAATAGAGTACTGATATATGCTGTACTATGGAGGAACCTTCAAAAGATTATGCTAATTGAAAGAAGCCAGATATAAAATACTATATATGACCCCATTTATATGCAATGCCTAGAAAAAGCAAATCCAGAGAGACAAAGTAGGTTAATGATTGCCTAGGGCAGGAGGTAAGAATGGGGAGTGACTGCTAATGGGCACAGATTTTCTTTTTAGGATAATAGAGATGATTTAAAATAGGAATGTGGTTATAGTTTCACAGCTGTGGAGATATAGCAGTGCTCACTGAATTGTGTACTTAAAACAAGTGAATTTTATGTAAGTTAAACCTCAATAAAGCTTTAGCAAGACAAAATGTGGGAAAGAAAAGAAGGAAACTCTCTGTGGAATGTCTTGATTACCATACTAAAGAATTGAGGCTTTTAAAGCTTATCCGTGTTTGTTTTTCTTTAGGATTAAAATCATGCAGAACATTGGTGTTACATTTATAAAAACTGGTCGGTATTCAGATGCCATTAATTCATTTGAGCACATCATGAGTATGGCCCCAAATCTGAAGGCAGGCTTCAACCTAATTCTTAGTTATTTTGCTGTTGGAGATCGAGACAAAATGAAGAAGGCATTCCAAAAATTGATTGCTGTTCCCTTAGAAATTGATGAAGATGATAAATATATTTCACCAAGTGTGAGTATGAAGAAGATTGATGTGTAGCCAGCTACTAGTTATCCATGCTTTTCTGTTTCTAGGAATGAAAAAGTTGGAATGGATGACTTTTTAGGTTTCTCCTAGCCCTATATTAATATGTTTTAATTAATTAAATTTAATTAATGTGCTTTTATCAGTTTCATTTGTTATTTAAATTAGGTTGAGAATGGGACTCTGTTGAAATAGGGCTAGAGCTTATGGTTAAAGATCAACTTCACAATTTTAGTGAAAAAAGAGAAAATCTTACAAAATATAAGATTACATGCCATTCTTTAAGAAAACTATCTTGACGAAGGCACCCCTAAAGCCTTTTTTTTTTTCTGTTTTTTTATCAGTCATTGTTTAACAGAGGAAACTAAAACTATGTGTAATAAATAGATCAAAAATGAAAAGAAGAATTCCTTATCCTTATGCATAGAGTGAAGCAAAATACAAAAGTCATATTTTTGGAGCCCTAAGGAGGAAATACTGTACAATATTAAGTGAAAAACCAAGTGAAAAAAAAAAAAAAAGATATACACACACCCATACATGAACATAAACTGGAAGGAAATACACCAAAATAGAAATAGTTTCCAAGCAGTGAGATAATTTTTCTTACTGCTTTTAAAATATTTTTCAGGTTTTTACATATAAAGTATTGGTATACTGCTATATTATTTCATATTAAGCCAAATCATATGAAATTGCCTGTATTTATAGATCAAAATGGTTTAATAATGCCAATTTCATAAATTGAACTTAACAGATTTTCTTAATAGATTATAAGGGTATTACAGCATAGTGGTTGGCTCCATCACTCAGTACTTACTCTTCTTATGCCTCAGTTCCTTTATACATAATATAAGACTCATTATAATAATCTACCTTAAAGGGGTGCCTGGGTGGCTCAGTCGGTTAAGCGGCTGCCTTCGGCTCAGGTCATGATCCCAGGGTCCTGAGATCGAGCCCTGCATCGGGCTCCCTGCTCAGCAGAGAGCCTGCTTCTCCCTTTCCCTCTGCCTGCTGCTCTGCCTACTTGTGCTATCTCTCTGTCAAATAAATAAATTAAAAAAAAAAAAAATCTACCTTATAGGGTTGTAAGGATTAAATGAGGTAATGTATGTGAAATGCTTAAAACAGTACCTGGAACATAGTAAGTGCTAAGTAAACATTACTATATATTATTTTCATATTAAGAAAAAATATCTTATGAAAAAATCATCTGTATTTTTAATAGAGAGCAGAGATATTGATTACTAAAGAATTTGATGATCATTAAAGCATTTATACTTAAGTTTAGAGTTTATAATATCACACAGCTTCTGTGTACTTGGTCCTATTCTATCCAGTCTGACCTTTTATCAGTTGCTCAGAATCTGTTTGTTCAAGGAGAATGTAATTGGTAATCAGAAATGAGAAGAAAATGAGAAGAAATGAGGGAAGATAGTTTAGAAAGATTAACTTACTCTCCATTTTATGTAACTACTTAGTGGTGAGGTTGATTAGAAATCCAAGTTCTTGGTATTTACTTCTGAATTCATCATTTTTTTTTCCAATTTTATTTTCCCAGGATGATCCACACACCAACTTGGTGATTGAAGCTATAAAAAATGATCATCTAAGGCAAATGGAACGTGAAAGGTAATATTTTGTGCCTTAGTAATATAGGTTTAATTTTTGTAAAAAAGTTGAATGTACATTCTGATTATTTCTCTCAAAACTTGTTATATTCAGTATATTTCTCCAATAAGGCTATTGTTTCACCATTTCTATACAGTACTAGATTCTCTTTTTGCCTTCAAGATAATCAAAGTTCTCAGGCTGACCCCAATTATTCTTACTCAGTAGCTCTTACTATTTTCTTGTAATCTGCTTTCCCTCTGCATTTGGTGCAATATTAGAACTTTGCTTATATTACTTTATTTATTTATTTATTTATTTTTAAAGATTTTATTTATTTATTTGACAGAGACACAGTGAGAGAGGGAGCACAAGCAAGGGGAGTGGGAGAGAGAGAAGCAGGCTTCCCGTGGAGCAGGGAGCCCTGATGCAGGGCTCGATCCCAGGACCCTGGGATCATGACCTGAGCCAAAGGCAGACGCTTAACCGTCTGAGCCACCCAGGCACCCCTATATTACTTTTATTTAAAGAAATTATATTTTTATGTATTTTTGCCCAGCTTCCAATTAAATTTCATCTCCCAAAGACAAAATTGTTCTTACTTCTTCCTTCCTCCAATATGGTACCTAGTCTCTGCCAAGTATGGTCTGAAAGTGCTAATATTTATTGTATATGTATTAAGAATATAGCACATGATAGAGGGCCCTTAATTATTTTAATTGTGGTAAAATATACATAACATAAAATTTGCCATCTTAATTATGGTGCATAAGACTTCATGGTTTGGTAATGTTATGTGCATTAACATTGTTTTATAACCAGTCTTCAGAACTCGTGTATGTGTCTGTGTAAGTGTTGGGTCATATGCTAATGCTAATTCTATTTATTTATTCATTTTTAATTCCAGTGTCATTAAAGTTATATTAATTTCAGATGTACAATCCTATACATTAGTCAGTGCTCATCATGATAAGTTTACTCTTAATCCCCTTCAACTCTTTCACCCCAGAACTCTGTATCTTCTCAAATTGCAATTCTACCCATTGAACAACTCTCTAGGCCCTGCTTCCAACACCTGGCAACTACCATTCTACTTTCTGTCGCTATGAATTGACTTCATTTACCTCATATAAGTGGAATTGCAGTATTTGTGACTGGCTTATTATGTTTATCATAACGTCCTCAAGGTTCATCCATGTTGTGGCATGTGACAGGATTTCCTTCCTTTTTAAGGATGAATGATATTTCATTATATGTATAGAAGGTCCTTAACTTTTAGAAATTAGTTTACTATTAAGAATACTTCTGGGGCGCCTGGGTGGCTCAGTCCGTTAAGCGACTGCCTTTGGCTCAGGTCATGATCCCGGGGTCCTGGGATCAAGCCCCGCATCGGGCTCCCTGCTCAGCGGGGAGCCTGCTTCTCCCTCTCTCACTCCCCCTACTTGTGTTCCCTCTCTCGCTGTGTCTCTCTCTGTCAAATAAATAAATAAAATCTTAAAAAAAAAAAAAGAAAGAATACTTTTGGGAAGGTGGAGTAGACATAGTTTTCCCCATTCTTCCCACTAAGTACAAATAAAAACCCTGGAAGTTCTATATAAAACAAATATAAGAAGAAAGGTGGAGAAAATAGGGCAGATCAGCAAGGGACCTCAGGATCTGAGGAACAACATGGCAGTGAGTTCCCCTCATGTTTCCCAAACTTGGAGCTGAAGAAGCTGGCAATCAGAAAATGACAATGGTTGTATTTAAAAAAACAAAAGCCCCAAGAAAAGCCTGCTTTCTCTAGCCAAAGGACAAGGAAAGGAGTAGGCTAACAAGACTGAAAACTTTTAGATAAATACCACACACACACTATGGCCCCACTCCCATGTATGCCAGCAAAAGTCAAATGGGAGCCTAGCTTTCCACCCTGATAAGTCTATAAAGAGACACCCATACCCCAAAAGTCCAAGTAGGGAGCCAGGACTTTAATCTGACAGGCCCTTAATGAGTCCCACCACTCTGTGGTGTCAACAGACGGCACATGGAGATCCTGGAATTCCACTCCATGTGGCAGTAATGAGGCACTCCCCCTCTCTCCCGGTGTCAGAGAAAATAATGGAGAGTCAGAACTTTCATCATCATTCAGTGATAACAAAGCCACCACACTGTGGTGTCCGTAGGGACCATGGTAGAAGCAGGAACTCCTGCCCCACCCAGCAGAAACAAGGACTTCTTCCCACCTTGGTTATCAAAGGAGGTCGTGTTGGGTACCTAGACATCTATTATCTGATGATAATGAGGTGGTATCTCTTCTTCCCTGGTGGAGCGGTGTCAAAAAAGCCAGCTGAAACAGAAGATTTTTTAAAAAAATTTGGAGTATTATAATGCAGAAATGTCCCAAGTTTTGATCAAGAATACTTGTCATACCAAGAACCAGGATGATTTCAAACCAAAAGAAAAATCCAATCAATATACTCCAACACTGACATGACAGAGATGTCAGAGTTATCTGACAAATTTTAAAGCAACCATGATAAAAATGCTTCAGCAAGTGATTATGAACATTAGTGGGTGGGCTCAACAGGAAAATAAACGGGATATGGAAAGATTCAGTGAACTGGAATATGGAAAATGGAAATTACTCAATCTGAACAACAGAAAATAGAGTAAAAACAGAAATGAACAGAGCCTAAGTGACATCTGGGACTATAACAAAAGATCTGCAATTTGTGTCATCAGTGTCTTACGAGAAAGAGATTGGACTAAAGAAATAATGGCTGGCAACTCCCCAAATTTGGCAAGAGAAATAAATATACAATACAAGAAACTGAATAAATACCAAAGAGAATCAACCCAAGGAAATCCATGTGAAGATACATCATGATTAAACTTCTGAAAATTAAAGACAAAGTCTTGAAAGGAGGCAGTGAAAAACAACACTTAAGGGAAAGCAGTTAGAATGATAGTGGAAGTCTTAATAACCTAAGCTCCCAGATAATCTAGAAAAAGAAAAGCAAAAGCAGCCAAAGGAAGAAATAATAAATAGAAATCATTGACATTGAAAAGAAAGAAACATAAGTGAAACACAGAGCTGATTTTTTGAATAGATGAATAAAATTAATAAACTTATAGCAAAACTGACAAAAAAGACACAGGTTGCCAGTATCAGGAACAAAACAGGAGCTATCACTACAGACTCTGTAGACATCAGAAGGATAATAAGTGAACACTACAAACAACCCTACACCCACAAAATTGACAACTTAGACAAAATGGACCACTTTCTTGAAAAACACAAATGACCACAACTCACCCAATGTGGAATAGATCATTTGAATAGCCCTATAAATATTAAAGAAATTTAATTTGTAATTTTAAACCTCCTGAAAAAGAAATCTCCAGGCCCATATGGTTTTACTAGAGATTTCTAGCAGATGTTTAAAAAAGAATTAACATCAATTCTACACAACTTCTTCCAGAAAATAGTTCATTTTATGAGGCTGGTATTCCCCTGATACCAAAACAAGACAGACAGTACGGGGCGCCTGGGTGGCTCAGATGGTTCAGCATCTGCCTTCAGCTCAGGTCATGGTCCCGGGGATCTGCGATCGAGCTCCGCGTAGGGCTCACTGCTCGGTGCAGAGCCCGCTTCTCCCTCTCCTCTGCCATTCCCTCCGCTTGTGCTCTCTGGCTCTGTCTCTCTGTCACGTAAATGGGTAGAATCTTAAAAAAAAAAAAAAAAGTACAAAAAAGGGGGGGTGGGGACAATAGATCAATATCTTACAAATATAGATGCAAAAATCCTAAAGAAAATACTAGTAAACCAAAATCACAAACAAAATATAAAAGGAATTGTGTACCATGACCAAGTGGGATTTATTCTAGGAATGCAAAATTGGTTTACTGTGTAAAAACCGGTAAGTATAAAAGAGGATATCAACAGAATGCAGGACAAAACCACATCATCATCTCAGTATAAAAACAAAGAAATTTTTTTTGACAAAATCCAATATGCTTTTATGGTAAACAAGCAAAAAAACCTCAACAGGCTAGGAGTAGAAACGAACTTCCTCAATCTGATAAAGGACATTTATGAAAAACCCAGTTTGAGATACTTAATGACAAAAGACTGAATGGTTTCCCCCTTAGAGCAGGAACAATACAAGGATATTCCTGTCACTACTTCGACATTGCACTCGGGGTCCTACCATGGAAATTAGGCAAAAAAAGGAAGTAAGAGACATCCAGGTTAGAAAGGAAGAAGCAAAATTATCTCTGTTTACAGACCACATGATCTTGTATGTGGAATATCCTACATAAAATTTTAGAATCCACTAAAAAGCAATTACAACTAATAAGTTCAGCAAGCTTGCAGAGTAATAGATCGATATATAGGAATCAATACTAAGAAATATACTATACACTACCAATGTACTATCCAAAATGAAATTCATAATTACATTTACAGTAGCACAAAAAATAATTAAGGAATAAGTTTAACAAATGAAATGTAAAACTTACACTCTGAAAAGTATAAAACATTACTGAAGGATATGCTAAGTAAATGGGAAGACATCACATTTTTATGGATAGGCACTTAATGTTAAAATGGCGGTGCTCCCCAAATTATTTTATAGATGCAGTGTGATCCATATCAAAATCCCAGCAGTGGTTTTTTAGAAAGTGACAAGTTGATCCTAAAATTCATATGGAAATCTAAGGGATCCAAAATAGACAAAACAATATTGAAAAAAGAAGAGCAAAATTGGAGGGCTCACACTACAAAACTACACCAATCAAGTGTGGTAGTACTTTATGCTAGTAGCATAATGATAGACATAGAAATCATTGGAATGGGATTGAGGGTCCAGAAATAAAGTTTTACATTTATAATTAATAAAAGTGCCCGGACAATTTGATGGAGAAAAGATAGTCTTTTCAACAAATGCTGCTGGGACAATTGGATATCCTCATGCAAAAGAATGAAATTGGGTCTCTGTCATACCATACACAAAAGTTACTTCAAAATGGATCATAGGGGATGCCTGGGTGGCTCAGTCGGTTAAGCGACTGTTTCAGCTCAGGTCATGATCCCAGGGTGCTGGGATCAAGCCCCACATTGGGCTCCCTGCTCGGTGGGAACCCTGGTTCTTCCTCTCCCACTCCCCCTGCTTGTGTTCCCTCTCTCACTGTTTCTCTCTCTGTCAATTAAATAAAAATAAATAAATAAATAATGGATCATAGACCTAACTGTAAGAGCTTAGAACTATAAATTCGTAGGGAAAAAAACAACAGTATTACTGATCTTGTATTAGGCAGTGACTTCTTAGATATGATACCAAAAGCACACGAAAAGAAAAAAAAAATAGGTAAATTGGACTTCATCACAATTAAAAACTTTCGTTCTTCAAAAGACACTATCAAGAAAGTGAAAAGACAATCCACTGAATGGGAGAAAATATTTGCAAACCATGTATCCAAGATGGATTTATTTCTCCAGTATGTAAAGAACTCTTCCAATTCAGTAATAAAAAGGCCAGTTAATAAAAAGGCCAATTAAAAGCATACAAAGGATCTGAAGAGACATTTCTTCAAAATAGATAAGTGAATGCCCATTAAGCACATGAAAAGATGCTTAAGTTCTATACTTCTTAGGAAAATGCAACTCACAACCACGAGATACCACTTCACACCCACTTGTATGACTGTAATCAGGAAGACAGATAATAACAGATGTTGGTGAGGATGTGGAGAAACTGAAATCTTGTAAGCTGGTAGCAGGAATGTAGAATGGTATAGCCACTTTGGAAAACAGTTTGGAAGTTCCTCCAAAGATTCCTCAACAAAGGTTCCTCATACTTAACCCAGCAGTTTGTCCCAGAGAAATTAGAGCATATGTCCACACAATAACATATACGAATGTTCATAGCAGTAGCACTGATAATATCCAAAAAGTGGAAACAACCCACATGCCCACAGCTGATGAATGGATAAATAATATATGGTCTGTCCATATACTGGAATATTATTTAGCCATAAAAAGAAATGACATAGCAATATATGCCACAGTACATACAAACCCTGAAAACATTACGATGATAAGTGAAAGAAGTCAGTCACAAAAGACTATATATTCATGATTCCATTTATAGGAAAGGTACAGATTAGACAAACCTATGGAGACACGTAGTAATTCAGTTTTACTGTTTCCGGCGCACACTTCTTCAATGGTCATTTTTACCCTTTCCTTTCATGTCCACAGACAGTGCAGGTTATGTAACTGCAGCTGCAGAGCTTTGTGTTTCTCCAGTGTTTCTTTGTTTTGTTTTGTTTTAAAATCAGTTTTTTATTATGTTCGTCCAGTGTTTCTTCTTCCATTTGTCAGCCTGCATTGAAAAGAAAGAGATGTTCCAGAAGGCAGTTATGGCTTGCTAATCCCATTTCCTAGCCATGGTTGTCAACCTGACTTACGGACAGATTTCTAGTGTAGCTGTCCACCATTTAGTAGACTTTCATGGTATGTTAGCTTTGATAGGTAATGTTTATACTTAAAAAAAAAAATCCAAACTCTTTATACCAAGTGTCTCAATAAAACTTTTTTGTTTGTTTGATATAGGAAGGCCATGGCAGAAAAATACATCATGACAGCCGCAAAACTCATTGCTCCTGTAATTGAAACATCTTTTGCTGTAGGTTATGACTGGTAAGAGAGAAATTCAGTATAACTGGATGGATATGTTGTTTTCATAATTTATACTTGTATTGATTTAAACTTTTATTAGAAAAGTAATTATGAATATTGATTTCTACTTACCAGGAAAGTAATATTATATGGTAAAATCAATATAGGGCATTCTAAAAGTTCTTTTTCTTATTGCTTATGTCATTTCTTAAATACTAAGGCAAGTGTGCTACCATTCGATATAAGGATACATAATTCCACTATATAAACCCAACCTGTATCCTTTTTCATTTTACTGTATCTTTTCTCATTTTTTCCTTTTCTACCTAAAGTTTGTCAGTAGTACTAAAACTTTCTATCCTCAGGAATAGCTCTCACACCTAAAGGGGCTGTTGTCTCCTGATGTAATGTACTTCCTAAACAGAAGTGAAGAATTTTATTAGAGTTGGAAAAATCTTAGATCATTTGTTGAGTGAGTAGTGAATTTCTTTCTTACTTCCACCCAGTACAGGAATCCCCTTTGTAGCGTCCCATATAGGTGGCCATTTAATTTCTGCTTGGAGTCTTCTGGTATTCAACTCATTTGTTTCATTTCTAAACATCTTTAAGGGTTAGAAAAATCTTCTTTGTATTGAACCCAAAATTGCCTCTCATGGAACTTTTTCTGTGATCTTTCAAGCAAACATAGACTGAATCTATGACCTCTTCTATATGGTACATTACAGAATTTTAAAAATCCAAGATACATGTACATAGTTACAAAGTCAAGTACAGAAGAGTTACTATATTCGTTTCTTTCTTTCATTTTTGTTTTTTTATTGAAATAGAATTTATACATAACATTATATCAGTTTCAGGTATACAACAAATGATTTAATACTTATATATATTGCAAAGTGATCACAATAAGTCTAACATTTGTCACCATACATAGTTACAAATTTTTTTCTTGTGATGAGAACTTTTAAGATATATCTTAGCGGGCGCCTGGGTGGCTCAGTTGGTTAAGCGACTGCCTTCGGCTCAGGTCATGATCCTGGAGTCCCGGGATCGAG